TGCCCTAGAATGGATTTTTTAAAAGCCTCAGTATGTACTGTCTGTGAGACACTTTTTTTTTTTTTTTTTTTTTTGAGAGAGAGAGAGTGTCTCACTCTGTTGCCCCAGGCTAGAGGGCAGTAGTGTCCTAGCTCACAGCAACCCCAAACTCTTGGGCTCAAGAAATCCATTTGCCTCAGCCTCCCAAATAGGTGAGACTACAGGTGCCATAATACCCAGCCATTTTTTAAAGACAGGGTCTCCCTCTTGTTCAGATTGGTCTGAACTTCTGAGCTCAGGTGGATTCACCTGCCTTGACCTCCCAGAGTGCTAGACTTACAAGCACAAGCCACTTCACCTGGTCTAAGAACTTGCATTTATACTTCAGAACATTGCATTAAAGAAAACCCCAGGCCTAGATGGTTTCACTAAGGAATACTTCTGTAAACTAGCAGAAATGGTGTTGCCATACAGCAGTATAAATACAGTTTGTGACTTACAAGTTTGCCAACTTTGTGATCATGACTTTTTTTTTTGAGACTGAGTCTCACTTTGTCATCCTTTGTAGAGTGCTATTGTGTCATGATTCACAGCAACCTCAAACTCCTGGGCTCAAGTGATCCTCTTGCCTCACCCTCTCAAGTAACTGGGATTACAGGCGCCTGCCACAGTGCCTGGCTATTTTTAGAGATGAGGTCTCGCTCTTTGCTCAGGCTGGTCTTGAACTCCTGAGCTCAAGCAATCCACCCGCCTCGGCCTTCCAGAGTGCTAGGATTACAGGTATGAGCCACCACACCGGGCCTGTGATTATGACTCTTAATGGATATTTTTAAATGTTTTGAATTCACATTTCAGATTTTGCATATAAAATGAGACTATTCTACTGAACATTAAAGAAGAAATAGTAAAAGTTCTTCACAGCATCTTCTAGAAAAAAAAGGAGAGGGAACATTTCTACCTCATTTTTTAAGGCCTTACTCGGATGCCCCCTAAACTCAGAACAAAAAAATAACCCTCATAAACATAGACAACAATCTTCACCATATATTAGCAAATTGAATGTAACAATATAGAAAAAGAAAAATACAGCATAACCAAGTGGGGTTTCCAAATATGCAAGGCTGGTTCAGTACTTGAGAATCAGTTTATGTAATCTATCATGTTAACAGAGTAAAAAAGAAGAACTTCATAATCATGTCGGTTGTTACAGAAAAAGCATTCAACCAAATTCAGTATTTCATGATTTAAAAAAAAAATCTTAGCAAAGTAGGAATAGATGGACTTCCTTAATCTGATAAAGGGTATCCACTTAATGATGAAAGATTGGGGGCAAGT